AAACACCCTAAAATGTCTTTGAAGATCTACGAAATTGATATCTTGACATAAGAGAGTTTCGCTGCGACAGACCATGTTGGAGAGCAGCATTTTCAGGGGGAACCCCAAACCATAATAATATAAAACTTCAAGATTCAGGAAATCTGAAGTCATGAGAGAACCCCACACGCTGCGCACTTCTACGAAAGGAGATGAAGGTTCTAAATGATCAAAAAGTAGCAAAATCTTGTCTTCCAGAATTACTTTCATTAGCCATAACTAAAGCCACATATTATCCATCTCAATCCATAATATGTACATTTCTGTATAATGTGGTGATTTTCTTTACCATTCTTTGAGATTTGATACCCATAATTGTAACTGGGACGAGGCAATGATTGAAGACATGTCTTTTGTTATCCCTTCTGCCAAAGACAATGGCGGTGCTCGTAGAGGTGGGGCCAACAACTTCCCTCTCCGCGGCGGGAAAAGCACACTGTGGGAGGGAGGTATCCACGGCGTGGCTTTTGTCACCGGCGGGAGTGTGGCACTGAAAGGAACAGTCAACCGAGAGCTGATCCACGTCACTGATTGGTTCCCCACGCTGGTGGGCCTGGCACAGGGCTCCCTCAACGGAACGAAGCCTTTGGACGGAGTGGACCAGTGGGACACCATCAGGTATGTAGTACAAACAGTCGACCTCACTTTCAATAGCTTTTGATTGTAGCTTTTTTGGGGTTTGTTTCTTTATTTGTCTATTTGTTTGTTTTTTTGGTTTCTTTTCTTTCTTTCTTTCTTTCTTTCTTACTTTCTTTCTTTTTTTCTTTCTTTCGTTCGTGCTCCCTTTCTTTCTGTCTTTCTTTCTAAGTGTTGTATGTCCATTGTCGGATGCAGCCCTTCAAAAATGAAGCCCACACTGTTATATCAGCTCATTCTGTACCCAGCAGGATATGCCTGTCTCCGCTCTGATGTCTTAACACTTTTTTTCTGATCTCTCCAAAGTCATCTCGCCTGTTGCTCTCTCATGCATGTAATGTTTTTGGTCTATTCATGTTTGTATATTGTCTTGATTACCCGCCACCAGTCTTCAATGGTCCTTCTTGAGCTTGTGCTCTGTTGAATCACTGTATTGCAAGTCTCGGCAGATTCCCAAAAGCTGATGATAGCTTACATAATTTGTATGACCGTGCGATTTTTTAGATGTTTCTGTTGACTTTCTTCTTGTGTATGAAAAATAAAATTATTATAACGGCTTTTCTGCACTGTTTTT